GACCACAACAAATACCACGCTACAGGGATTATCAGGCAACAATTTTTATTCTCCAAATTAACCGATTAGACAAACGAAACAGCCATTGCGCTGGGGAACAGGAGAAAGCCAGAAGTCGCGCCCAAACACTCAGAAAGGGGCAGGTTTTAATGCACTCAAGACAGTGGCCAGCTGCGTCTGATCTGCCTGATGGCCTCAGCTCCACTCCACCAGGAAGTTCACCCTGTAACACACACACAGACAGAGATACCACAAATACCCTGGCAGTGGCCCTGGGGCCGTCACAGTGTCCTCTTTTTGAGACCTAAAAAATGCGTCCGGCAAGGATTCCAAAAACGTCCGGGATTTTGTTTCGTCAGATATTTGTGTTTCTCTGGGTCTTTCACAAACTAGTTATTACGCCCTTACAAGTTTTGGAAATGGTGTCTTCCTTACGTTCCACTTTCTTGCGCGAGCTCTGACTGTAGAGAGAACAGTCATTGGTCAACCGATCTCAATGTTGCCAGATACACGATAATTATCCTCCAAATACGACCATTTTGAGCCTTTGGTACGATACGTCACCATTTCCAATCTGGCAACCGGCAGCAAAGGTTACACAGGCTAGGAAGCACTGTGTAGCCTGTGGATTACAGTTTTTTCGAGCGCTAAACAACAGTGGGCACGACTGGAGTCACATGTGCAAAACTCTAACTACAGTCTGCACAGCAGCAGTTCATGTGGACCAAACTCTCGTTCGTTTTTCATTGCTTGACCACAGTTTTAAAAACTCTACACACTTATCCCATGACTTATCCACAACCTGCACAACACTGTGGATGTACAGCACTTTGTTCAAATGCTAAAACACTGCTCTCAAAACTGTGAACCACACATTCAAAACGGAATGTGCCTTTTCAAACACTGCTGATTGCAATTTCAGCGAGTGACAGCGAGATCCTCTTTGTGGCAGTGGCAAGTGGGTGGCATCAAACTTGAGAGCCCCACCCCCTACACGGAACCCGCCGGTCCAAACTAAAATTAGCCTCTGTAATAAGAAGACGGGGGCTCACGTGTCTCAAATAAAATTAAATAAAATAAAATATTTACAGCAGCTGACCTGTCGTACAAATAACAGTTGTTTCTGGGAAAAATTGGCTCCTCCCACCCAGCGTGCCGTTGTGACGCCGACTGATTTACTGGCGATTGCCGCTGCCTGTCACAAAGTTGCCACCCACTTGCCACTGCCACAAGGAGGATCTCGGCCCTACTGATTTCAGCTGAAAGGCTGAGCAGGTGTCTTGTTTTAGACTTGTTCGTGAACACACACACATACACACATGTATAATACATACATACATATATGCAGTGGAGCAAAAAAGTATTTAGGTAATAGGTAATAAGTATTTAGTCAGCCACCAATTGTGAAAGTTCTCCCACTTAAAAAGATTGGAGCGGCCTGTAATTTTCATCATAGGTACACGTCAACTATGAGAGACAAAATGAGAAAAAAAATCCAGAAAATTACATTGTAGGATTTTTAATGGATTTATTGGTAAATTATGGTGGAAAATAAGTATTTGGTCACCTACAAACAAGCAAAATGCCTGGCTCTCACAGACCTGTAACTTCTTATTTAAGAGGCCCCTCTGTCCTCCACTCGCACCTGTATTAATGGCACCAGTTTAAACTTGTTATCAGTATAAAAGACCCCTGTCCACAACCTCAAACAGTCACAGTCCAAACTCCACTATGGCGAAGACCAAAGAGCTGTCAAAGGACACCAGAAACAAAATTGCAGACCTGCACCAGGCTGGGAAGACTGAATCTGCAATAGGTCAACAGCTTGGTGTGAAGAAATCAACTGTGGGAGCAATTATAAGAACATGGAAGACATACAAGACCACTGATAATCTCCCTCGAGACGGGTCTCCACGCAAGATCTCACCCCGTGGGGTCAAATGATCACAAGAACGGTGGCAAAATCCCAGAACCACACGGGGGGACCTAGTGAATGACCAGCTGAGAACTGGGACCAAAGTAACAAAGGCTACCATCAGTAACACACTACGCCGCCAGGGACTCAAATCCTGCAGTGCCAGACGTGTCCCCCTGCTTAAGCCAGTATATCTCCAGGCCCGTTTGAGGTTTGCTAGAGAGCATTTGGATGATCCAGAAGAGGATTGGGCGAATGTCATATGGTCAGATGAAACCAAAATAGAACTTTTTGGTACAAACTCGTCGTGTTTGGAGGAGAAAGAATGCTGAGTTGCGTCCGAAGAACACCATACCTACTGTGAAGTATGGGGTGGAAACATCATGCTTTGGGGCTGTTTTTTTGCAAAGGGACCAGGACGACTGATCCGTGTAAAGGAAAGCATAAATGGAGCCATGTATCGTGAGATTTTGGGTGAAAACCTCCTTCCACCAGCAAGGGCATTGAAGATGAAACGTGGGTGGGTTTTTCAGCATGACAATGACCCCAAACACACCGCCCGGGCAACGAAGGAGTGGCTCCGTAAGAACAATTCCAAGGTCCTGGAGTGGCCTAGCCAGTCACCAGATCTAAACCCCATAGAAAATCCTTGGAGGGAGTTGAAAATTTGTGTTGCCCATTGACAGCCCCAAAACATCACTGCTCTAGAGGAGATCTGCATGGAGGAATGGGCCAAAATACCAGCAAGTGTGTGACAACCTTGTGAAGAACAGGAAACGTTTGACCTCTGTCATTGCCAACAAAGGGTATACAACAAAGTATTGAGATGTACTTGTTATTGACCAAATACTTATTTTCCACCATAATTTACCAATAAATTCATTAAAAATCCTATAATGTCTCTGATAGTTGACGTGTAAGTATGATGAAAATTACAGGCCGCTCCAATCTTTTTAAGTGGGAGAACTTGCACAATTGGTGGCTGACTAAATACTTTTTTGCCCCACTGTATATACGTACATACATACATAGATATATACGTACATATATACACACACACATATATATACATACATATATACACACACATATACACACACATACATATATACACACATATATATATTGCTCTTTTCTTTGAAGAAAATATTACTTTGTATGATGTCACTGAAATGGTTCAAACTGTAAAGATGAACAGTTAGTATTTTGTGTATTGGTGTTTGATGCTGGTGTTTTTACTCTGTGTGTTCTGAGTGACAGTGTGTGTTCTCTCAGTGAGGCTTGTGTTACGGGTCCCAGCACACTTGTTTGCTCAGTGCAGTGTTTGCTGCACTGAGCCTGTTTTGAGCCACGTGTAAAGAGTTGTGTTACTTGGAGTGAGTTTTGCAGGTGATGTGAACTGTTTAGCTCAGACTGTAGTTAGTTTTGCACATGTGACTCCAGTTGTGCCCACTGTCGTTTAGCAATCGGAAAAAACTGTACTGTAATATGTTATGTATATGTATATGTATACAGCGAACTACATTGGTCACACATCTACAGTCATGTTAAAACATTACAGAACATTTACAGGCATTTACCTTCGATCTTAACCCAAGTGAGAGACATAAAACAACTTTAGCATACCTGTGGATTAATATGGAGAGAGGACGCACGTTAGCTAGTTTTATTCTGAGCTGCGCATGAGCGGAGCCTGTAGCTACGTTCTCTCCAATGTCTCCATAGCAGCACCACAGCGACCTCTACTGACGTGATCGTGCAACATCTGCAATACCTCAACTTATTCTGATTCATGTTCATCTGATCATGACTTGTAGGGCCTTCTAGACTTCAGCTGAACATTCAACCAGAAAACTATTGTTGTGCCTCAATCATCTACCACAACTCGTCTACCACAACTGCACCACAATAAAGCCTAATTAATCAACCTCTGTTTAAGATTTTAGGTTGATTGACATATTTGTTAGAATGATATTCAACCAATTCTTAACTAAAAACGAACCTATATTGTTAATAATTGTATTCTTAAGATAACTTAATGATTTTTTTATTTTCAGCCAAAAATTGGTAAGAAAAACACAGGATTTGTTAGGGACAAATATTTTTCATTATTTAAAACCTCCCACCACACTTTCCATCAAACAAAACAGTGCAACAAATGAAGTGCTTACAGGGCTTGAAGTGTCTTTTAAGCACTACAATGGATCAACACGTGACAAAAATAACTACAAATGAGGTATCAAATGCAGATCAGAAGCTGGTTAGTCATTTTCTGAGGTCCTTGTTTGGAGGTCTTCAGTGAGTCATTTTCTTTGGCCTGTTAATAAAAAGATAAAGGCAATGTGAGCAGCCTAAATAAACAATGCCATGATGTTTTGAGCATGTAGTACACTAGGTTAACAAGGTGCTCTACTGCTTGTTATGACAGAGTTTACATTGACCACACACAATCAAGTTCACATGCAGAAACAGAAACGAATACATTTCTTTCAAGAATTAAATTTTAAGAGAGTGGGTACTTAATTGAACCACATGTCATTAGCATACCTAGTCTCTGCTCAGATGGAGACTGGAGTCGCTTCCCTGTGTTTCCAAAGAAAGGTCACACACGAGTTCTTGAGACACTCACAATATGCAGCTCAACAAATTCTCCCCCGCGGTGGTCTCTCTTTGTAACTCCTCTTCTGTCGCTAAACTTCTGGATGAAAAGGATGTTACGGATGCGCTCTTTAGCGCCTTCTACTGTCGGGGAGGTTGAAAAGGAACGAACAAAGATTTTTTTTCAGCGTGAGAAATTGGATGTGTGGCGTTAGTGCGTGTGAAAACATGCAAAAGCTTGTGTCTTGTGAAACCGTGAGAGTTGGCAGCTATGTAAATATATTTTACTCATGCAATCTGAAGGCCACACTCCACAGTATGAAGACCTGTTGACGCCCGTTGATGCTGAGAGTGAATTCCCTCCCTACTTTATAGGTGCTGCCCTCGTCATCGAAGCTCAGAGTGACAACGGAGTTGGCCAATGGCTTTCCACTGACATGCGGCTTCAGTCAGGGAGGACCAATGGATGAGTGCGACACTGGTTTGATTTGTTAAAGTTTAGCCGGACTTGTTTTGTTTCGGTGAGCTGCTGAGACTGACGTTATGTTAACAATGCGTCTGCTAATTAACAGTTTATCGGTTAAGATATACTAGTATCTTATATTTTATGACAATGGAGTCACTTAAAGTCATCGATGGACAAGAAAATTCAGCGACGGAGGCCACACTCACAGAGGTAAAAGCTAACTTAGCCGACGCCTTTTTCGACAGCTAACGTTAGCTTAGATCGCTAAATTAATAAATTAACTTAATCCGCCTGTTGGCTAAAACGTGTTAGCGCTAACGTTAGTTTGACTGCGAGTCATATTTTATGAACTCTTTGTATGCTACCAACAAGTTCGTGGGTTGAAAAACACTTCCCAGTTCTGTTCGGCCCGACCGGGTAGTTACAAACATGGTAATGTAACATAAGTCAAAGAGAGCAGGGCTGTGCAACGTTAGCATGGTTGGGCAATAACACTCGTTCGGGTAATAAGGAGCAATACGAGGATCATAACGTACTGACTCCTGAAACAGCGAAGACGCTATATCACGTCCCAAACAAGCCTGGGGATGTGAATACAAAACCAATGCTGAAAATGCATATGTTGTGCATGTACATGTATCTACAAGGCAATATGAGCCCCAATGACAATATCCAGCTAAACGCGGTTGAAAGTACGGCAGATGTATCGATCACTCATGATATCAAACTCATGCTGATGATTCAGAGACTGTGTGCAATGCAAGCACCTCCTGCAAATCTAGAACAGCCCTGAATTCAAGGGCCACCTAGGAATCTTAAAATGCCCCTGTGTGATTAGCTGTACTAGTCTTTGCTCGGAGAGTGGTCCTGCTGCTGCACACAGAGGAGAGGTCTCCTCACACACAGTCTGAGGTATCGGCTTCCAGAGGCTCGTCCCGAGTGGATCCCGACTCAAGCTTGTTTGCTTCATCACGAGAAGCAGCAATGTTTACATGGTTACGTCATCATTTAGAGAAAATTAATCCGAAATTATTTTAACGATCAGATAATCGTAAAAGAAAAAAAAGAAGAAGAGAGCCGGACTGTGTTTTTAATTGCTCTTTTTTTTCCTACATGAAGTATCCTCGGCAAAGTTGTACTTATGGATAACCTTTTTAACATGTATTTATCACAGGAAATCTCTTTTAAATTGGTATGATTGTGAAACAACTAGAGCTGTATTAATACACCAGTATGACGCTATTAAAACTAGGGGTGTAACGATTCATTTCACATTTCACTCATGGTTGCCGATTCGATTCATGGACGATCTGGGTTAATTTAGAACGATTCGATTCAGTGACTTGAAATCGATTCAGTAACTTTACTGGACAGTGCAGGCAAAGTTTCTGAGATCCCTGTTGTTTCTTGTAAGGAAATCAGGTTTAAATTAATTATGGATATTATAAACAAGCAAACAACAATTAATGGCAAATTTATTAACCTTTTATTTGAATCAAGTGCCATTTTCAATGTAAACATTACACAATAATTACACAATGTTTGGATCAATTCACAGAACCCCGGATTTTCAACCTCATTATAGGGTCGCATGTCTTTACAGATAAACTTGGCAATCGTTACTGTGATGTTGAGTTTGGTGCTGGCGAGGCCTGAGGTGTCTGCAGAGCTGAGTTACCTTCTGCTGCAGCGGTGACGCTGCTAGAGGTGCCTGACTGTCGGCGTTGTTTAATCCCACGGCGCCTTAGTAGATGGCTGGAAAGATTCGTCGTGTTTCCGTGGTTTTTTATTTGGCTTCTACATATTCTACAAACAGCGACCGACTTATTTAGAACACCTCTGTGTTTGCAAAAGCCAAAATGTTTCCACACGCTGGATCGATAAGGTAGTTTGTAAATGTCTCGCTCGCAGTCGTCTCCTCCATGCTGTGTTTTGTTGTTGTTCCGAGTACACCGCTGCGTACTGAATCGAGTAACGTTTAACGTGTCTAAAGTGCTAAAAAACAAACAAACAAAAACACATCCATGCCGTTTTTGTACTTAAATCCAATGTGCAGTTTCCAAGTATCGATACAATCGATTATGTACCATTTCAATCGATTTGTAATCGCTATATGTCGCCCGGAATGCCGATTTGCGGAGCACAGATCGATTCAGTTGGATCGCAGGAATATAAATCGATTAATCAATTCAGTGAATGAATCGTTACACCCCTAATTAAAACTCATGCTTTGTCATGCTTTGTCTTTTACATAATGTAGAAAACACCTGACACATGTTTGAGTGTGTGTGAGGAAAAGGTGATAACAGGAGCCGGCTGTCACACTCCTACGTTATATCGATGGTTAATAATCATAGGGTATTACAGTAGTAGTTAATATTGCATACTATATTGCCGCTAACATTCAATGTTTGAATGTATTATAACATAAGTATAATAGTTTAATTGTGGTTATTATTGCACAGGACAATCTCCTCACATTACAACCCAACTGAAAATATGGTGTTTGAATAACAAAAGTTGCTCAAAAGTACAATGCAAAGTAAAGACTTTACCAGTGTATGGCCATATTTTATATTTCTAATATCCATAAAGTGCTTGCCATGGAAGAGTGTTTTATGGAGGGTGATTTTTGATTGTAGTTTTAAATGCCCTGCTCTCGGTATAACTGTACCACAATACTGTTGTTTCAGTAGCCTCTTCCACGCGGTGTGTGTGCGTGTGAATGTGTGTGTGTGTGAGACAAAGCATTATGTCTTTGTGTTTGCAGGCCAGGCTGGTGTGCCAGGGAGTAGACAATCAGAGCTACATCTGCGAGTCGGGTCACTGCTGTGGAGAGACACAGTGCTGCAGCTACTACTATGAACTGTGGTGTGAGTTACTTACCTCGTCTACATCCAGGGGCCGGCTCTTTGAATGGTTTCTGCTCATGACGCTCATTAAAGAACACGAAGCAGGAAAACACAAAATATGTTGGTGAATCATTCAATACAACAATATAAAATACAATATATGTGCATTGGTTCTACTTTATCCAAAGCACATGACACAAGGAAATGTAAAACCAAAGGGATGACATCTGAGGATGTTATGTTAGATAAACATCTGGAGTTGTACCAGTTAGGTGAGTGGAGCCAGGCACAGTCGCTACTCCTCACCTACAGTCAGCACTTGTTTTGCTGTACCTCCTTGAAAATTCCTGTGGGTGTTACTGTAATTTAAGCACTCCCAGCCCTTCGGAACAATCTATGGGGTTTTTTAAGACTAAGAACGTCAAAGCCAACCATTGGCCAAAGATTGAAGAAGAACATGAGGGCCGTAAACCAGTAAATAGGCTTTATTAGTAACCGAAACCCGACCTGGCCTTATCATGCGTCTTGGGGGATCCGATCACAAGTGGGAAGCTCTAAGAATAGACGTGAGTGCATCAGGAAGCATTACGTTCTACCAAGTCACAGGAACTGGCTTTGTCCCCCCGTGTAAAACGTTAGAAACACCCATTTAAATGTATTGCAAAGATGTACAGATCCTGTCTGTTTTGATTTGCCTGTATTCTGGTCATTTTGGGAGTTTTTTATTACATCCCTTTCTCTCCCACACAGTGGGACGTGTGGATTAAAGCCCAGGTGCTGCTGTCGGGTTGGTGCATGTAGTTTTGCATCTCAGGGTCGGGCTGTTGGGGATATTTCTGGGTTTTGGTGATCAGACACCGGCCCGTCTGCTTTCCTTGCCGCCTCTCTGAAGCTGTGTCCCGCGGCTGGTAGACAACAACCTGATATCTGTTTGGTTCATAGTGTACCCAGACTCACGGCTATATGATATCTTCTCCCCCATTGCTGCCTGCCGCCGGGTAAAAGCACCGACACATTCAACAGAACTCCTTTGTGTGTGTTTGTCTGCGTGTAGAACAGGGACGGGAGACCCAGTGTTTCCATGCTAGTGCCAGGTGCAAAGTCGTTGGCTGTCCCCTTGTGATCGATCACCCGAGATGTATAGTAACGGGTGTATAGTAATGGGTCTGAACAAAGTGTGTGTGTCCTCTCACCTCTTGTTCAGCGGTGACGCACTGTCAAGCACCCGTTGAAAGTTGGCCCATTAGTATAAATACGCATTGCTTGTTTTTTCTTTCAAAACAACATTACAAACTGATCACAGGGAGATCGGCTTATGTTCACAATGAAAATAATTTAGTTGAGCTTCTACTTTGTCAGTGCTCAAGCTCATATTTTGAAAGTTGAATAAAAACACCTTTAATTCTTTGTCGTTTGCAGCATTTGTGTGGATGTGTATTGAGTGTGTTGTGTGCTGTGTGCTGTGGGCTCCCTGCAGGGTTCTGGCTGGTATGGACTCTGATCATTATCCTGACGTGCTGCTGTGTCTGTCAGCACTGGCGCTCCAAGCAGCGCTTCCAGCAGCAGCGGCGGCAGAACGAGATCAACCTCATCGCGTACCGAGAGGCTCACAACAACTCCCAGCTGCCCCTCTATCTCAGTGAGAGCCGCTCTGCACCTCTCCGACACTTGGTCAAAGGGAGCCACAGATGGCTGCTGCTCCCACTCCTGCTTTCATTCACAAACTCCATACGAGAACAAACATGGGTTCGCCTTTACTCGTGCTGTTCTGGTACCGCACTTAAACATGTGTAGCAAAACGCTTCTCGGTTGTCAATCCTTGATTTGTAGAAAAATTCATCCTCAAGTCGGCTGAAGATGGCAAGGGTGTAGCAGCCAGCGGGGGGATCAGTCCAGTGGGCAAAAGATTGCTATGAGTACTAATGTTTGACTCCTTGTTCTCTTTAGTCATGTCATTTGCTCAGTGCAGCTGTCAACTCCAGAGTTACGTCCAGAAGGTCCTTTTACCAAGCGGAGCCCAGCTCGACTCCCCACGTCCACAGACTGGAGGACTTTGAGGCACGCTCCTACCAAGTCCTCCAGACCTTTATGGACACTTTATGGAATCAACCGTTCTGCAGGCTTTTCCCAAAGGAATTACCCCCCAACGTTAGACATGGGGTGGCTAGGGGAACCCCCACAGCATTTGAGAAAAAAGAAGGGTGTTCAGCCTGGCTTAAATTTACACAAAAACGTCGCCAATTTAAGATGGTTCATAAAAGCTCACGAAATCCGTGGAATGCTATCAGAGGCATGTGGTTATTGAGGCTGTTGTGATGACAAACATGAAAATTAATATTTGATAAAAGTGTGTGTGTGTTATTATTTTATTATTTCAAGGGGACGTTCAGGGTTTGAGGCTTTGGGTGGGAGACACTGACACGCATGTGATCATAACACAACTCTCCTTCCTTCTTGTGTTTATTGTGTCACTCTTCAGGATTCCTGCCCACCTACTTGCTGCCGGCTTACGAGGAGGTGGCCGACCGCCCTGCCACGCCGCCTCCCCCCTACACCCCTCTGCAGTCAGCCGCCCCACCCACGGAGCCGCCCGAGGACTCTCCCCAGCTCTGCCTGGCCACACCCGTCCCCGCCAGCGACACACCACCGCACGCCACTCCGGAGGTTGCACTGACCCACCTCCACGGCGCCCACTACCCCAACAAGGAGTCGACGCCGGGCCGGTACCGGCGCTTCACGGGGGACTCCGGGATCGAAGTGTGCGACGGCCAGGAGCTGTGGGATCAGAGCAGCCTATTAGAGGCCGAGGAAGAAACAGAGGAGCAGGGGGAGGCGGGGCAAACGGAGGAGCTGCGCGATTGCTTCGGCCCCGTTAGCGGTGCAGTCATTCATGACGGCCCAGATGGACCCACGGCTGTAGAGACAGAGCCACCGACTCCCAGCTAGTCCGTCAATGTCTGCAGTGAGCAAACTGCCACTGATGACAATGTCACGCCTTTGGGGCTCAGGGGTTCAGTTAGTTTGACGTACGTGTGTGTGTGTGTGTGTGTGTGTGTGTGTGTGTGTGTGTGTGTGTGTGTGTGTGTGTGTGTGTGTGTGTGTGTGTGTGTGTGTGTGTGTGTGTGAGGGGGAGGGGGAGGGGGGGCCTGGAGGGCAATGGCAGGCACGAGTACATATTTTGACACTTTCTATAAATGTAAAAGCTACATTGTGCAACTTGTGAAGCTCCCCTTCTTTTTATAGTGACAGTCTACCAGCTGTCTGCTTTAAAATGTTCTCCTGCCAGGAAGCAGCACTGATGTTCATGTTGTTTTCCCCAAGTGCACTTACGAGGTTCTTAAATCTCTGCTCCATGATTCTGTGACTCGTGAGACATGGTCAGACCATGTGAGCTAGAGCTCGACCAATACTTTGGTCTTTGCGGGTTTGGATACTTTTTTTCAAGCCAAAAGCACAAGGTCAATGAATCCCGAATTCCAAAAGATGTATACCCAGGATAAACTCTTAGAAGTATCCCTCAATTTAGTTCTGACCAGACCGGTGAGGGTGTAAAAGCAGTGATGGAACGTGAACTGAATGGTTCTTTTTGGCTATGGCTCATAAGCGGATATTGATATATCCGCTATAAGCCTCAATTTGACCGGTGACTGTTCTCTTTTAAATATCTCAGGTTGTAGTAGGCCATGTAGTTATTCAGCATCTATGTGATTAAGTACCTCAGCTTGTCAGGTACTTTTACCTGGCTGTTTTTTGTATCCTGGACAGATTTTTCACAAACATGATATTTTGTCGTGAGCTAAATTCCTTAGTTGCATTGTCCAAACTAGTGTCATGTTCATCTTTACTGGAACAAAATATCCATCTAGAAAATTTAGCCTGTCACTGTGGAGCTGAATGTGCTAAATGTTTGAACTACATCAAAGGCTGTGTTGTCTTTGTGGAGGTTCCTTGAGAGACATTTTCTTTAAACTGTCATTTGGAGAATGCACATGATGCCCCACACAGGAGGGGTTCCTGTTTGAGTCTCCGGTCGGTCCGATGGGGCCATGAGGTGGAGCCTTCTGAGTAGGAGGAGTCAGGTCACAGCTCCACAGTCGCTATGACTACGAGTTGCCCTGAGTAACCCTGGGTTCATCATCCTTTCAATACGCCTTGTGCACACATCAGATCTCAAACCACAAGTACACTTGCAAAGGAAAATAGGTGAATCTGTGTGTTTATTCTGCATGTGTGTGTGCGCACAGCACCCACTGCTCCACTTTGTACAAATGCTCTTTAAAACCTGCCACAGGAAAGTCTATTATACTGTTGCATTTTCATATGCATTGTTATAAAAAATGTTGGAGAACACGTGGCTACTATCCTTTATTTTTACTAAAGATTATAAAGATTTTCTATTTTAGTTTTATTGATGCAATACGTTATTCCAGCAGACAACCATTCTAAATTGAGTTCTCTGTATGTGTGTGTGTATATATACACAAAATTGTCTATACTCTTTATGTATACAGTCTATATTATACACTGCACAATTATTGCGCAAGTTGTATTTTTGAAGAATGTTAATCAATCTCAAACCTATATTTAAGAAAGTCAAAGTGAGGCTTTCTTAGGAGTATATCTATGTGTGCACAATTGTTGGGAAACTAAATGAAAACAAATATTTTCCCATCTCACTTGTTTAATTTGAGAGAGTAGAGGGGATCCCGAACCCTGAGGAACTCCAGTAGTAAGAGGGTAAGGTTACGACACAGATCCTCTCCAGGGGCCTCACGTACAAAGTCTTGCGTGGATTTCTTACTGAAACATGGCGTACGATCAAACCCATTTGCAATGTCTTCTAGTAGTGCTAAAGAAGCCATTGTTTTAATAGTATGCATTGCACCACTTTATGCATGCTTTTATATCCACACGTGTAAATGCAGATATGTGTTAATTGTAATGTGTCTCAGTAATGTGCACATCACTCAGTCTGAGGACAAACTGTGTTAACATTTATTTATTATTACGAGTGACGCCGGGTGCGAAAAGTGGTCGGTGAAAGGGTCCTTTGTCCGGACGGCAGGTTCCGGTGGTCGGTGGCAGGTTCCCTTTTCGGAGCGGCAGGTTGCATTGGTCGGTGGCAGGTTCTTTCGGTGGTCGGTGCAAATGACATGTTAATGAGTATCTTCACGACCACGGTAAATCATTTTCTAACTAACTTTATTGAGAATCAGGCACAACACAGCGTGTCATGTGTGTCTTAATGCGATGCTTTAGAAATGAACACAAATGGATTCTGAATTTGTTCATAAAGTCTGAAAAGGGTCATTTGGACAATTTTTTGATAACCGACTGCAGCCAGCGGAGAGAGAGCATCAGCGGACTGACAGCCCCCCTCCGGTCCGAGTGCTTGACGCGTCTCTGTCTACCATAGCGCAGAAGTCGGGAACCTATGGCTCTTCCGGTGACGGCATATGGCTCCCGGACAGTTGGAAAAAAAATCAGTTTGGAACTGATTTTAAAATACTTGTGATATTTCTTAATAATGTCCTTTTAAAGTAAAAAGAAATTAGTTTTGAAGATACATTTCACAGGTCACCCGTGGGTCGAGTAGGGAACCAACGGCTCGCGAGCATGTCCGGGTCATTGTAAAGGTGAAGAAATCAATTTTATCATATAGCCATCCGATAGTTCATCCGCTTCAACCCTTGTAACGGAAAAGATGGCGAAAAGAAAAAAAGACATTCCAGGCTGCGTGGACAGGGGAATTTGCATTTGGATCTGCGTTATGTCTAATATGCAATGCATCGATTGAACGGTCAAATATAAAGCGGCACTTCGATAAGCACCATGCTTCATTTGCATCGAAACATCCAGCGGGGGAAAGCAGGAAAGGGACATGCGACGAGCTACAGCAGAGAGTGCAGACGAGTCAGCAGCAACTACGTGTGTGGACCAAGGTGACGGGAATTCCGGGAATGGAGTTTACTAAAGAAAACAATCTACCGATGGATAAACTTATATCTGTCTGTACTGATGGTGCACCCTGTATGTTGGGGAAGAACAAAGGATTTGTAGCGCTTCTCCGTAAACATGTTAAGAGAGCCATCCTAACTTTTCATTGCATCCTGCACCAGGAGGCGTTTTGCGCTCAGGCGTGTGGCCAGGAGCTTGGTGAGGTGTTGTCGCTGGTCATTCGAGTGGTCAAATTTATTGTTGCCCGAGCTTTAAATGATCGCCAGTTTAAAGCTCTGTTAGAAGAAGTTGTGAATCATTATCCCGGTCTGATTTTACACAGCAACGTGCGTTTGTTGTCAAGGGGGAAGGTGCTCAGCCGTTTTGCAGCTTGTCTGAGTGAAATCCGGACTTTTCTTGAAATGAAAGGCGTCAAGAATCCTGAGCTAGACAACATTGACTGGCTCCTGCAGTTTTACTATCTCGTGGACATAACTGGCCATCTGAACCAGCTCAATGTGAAAATGCAAGGCATTGGAAATACAATGTCATCCCTTCAACAAGCAGTGTTTGCATTTGAAAGCAAGCTGCAGTCTTTCTCTGGGACATTGAAACAGGTCGTCTTCTGTACTTTGAAAGACTGCAACAATTCAAAGATGCATGCTTAGCAAGTGACTCCCCTCAACATCTGGATCTCCAGCAGCTAGCTGGCTTTACGTCCAATCTCCTGCAGTCATTCAAAGCACGTTTTGGAGAATTTCGTGCACGCACTGGTCTTTTCAAGTTCGTCACTCACATGAGTGTGCAGTGGACAAATCGACAAATCGACCTGACATGCATCAGTCTCTATTGGAGACTTTGAGCTGGAAGTTGCTGACCTGAAGGCATCAGCCGTGGATGAATAAGTTCAAGTCACTTAATGGAGAGTTGGAAAGTCAGACCGTGTGCAGAGCTGGCGAGAGAAAACAAGTGGACAGAAATGAAAAATCTTCGACCTGAAGACCAGCTGATTCTTAACGTGGAACGAGCTTCCTGTGACATACCACACAATGCAGCGTGTGAGTGTTGCCGTATTGACCATGTTTGGCTGTACATATGCATGTGGGCAGTCATTCTCGCCTTTTGAGGAACATTAAGACCAACCTACGCTCACGTTTAACTGATGAAGCCTCAACGCCTGCATGAAGCTCAACCTCACCACGTATGAACCAGACTACAAGGCCATCAGCAAAACCATGCAGCACCAGAAGTCACATTAAAAGTAAGACATATTTAATTTATTATACGTTAAAAATACTATATGGCTCTCAATGAAATATATTTAGAAATATTTGGCCTTTATGGCTCTCCCAGTCAAAAAGGTTCCCGACCCATGTTAGAAGGAAGCTTTACAAGTACTGTCAAAGCTTCTTTCATTGGATCCGGAGCATTTTGTTTCTCAACTTACTGTAAAAGAACAACCGATATTTCCCCTAAAACGTGACATGTATTTTGACAAGCATAGAGGCTCAATCAGCCCGTTCAGCCATTGAAAGAGTTCATGGAGACCAGATGAATTTGGCAGTGGGCTGAGCTGCTGCGCCACTGTGAACATTGTTACTCACATAGCTACGCAGGTTGTATGCGCCTCAATAGTAGCTAATTTCATGTAGTAGCCTCATTAAAACACAAATATCAAAAAGGAATATTCTACATGCAATCACAAAATGAAAAGATACGATATGCGATGCAAACTGGGATACAGTTCTGAAGGTCTCAAAGGTACCCTAACACATAGAAAACTGTTGATATGATACAAATATTAACATAAACGTTTTCTTTGTATTTTTACACCATATATCATTGTTTATACAAAACTTCAACAATATGCACCATCAATTAGCAAAATCTTTTTTTTTTTAAATAAACTTTTTTTCCAAATAAAAGTCCAACTACAACATAAATAACAATTAGACCAGACTTGGTTATGAACAGAGTTAGTTATCATGATCTTAACTCACACAATATTTATCAACTCTAAGGGCTTGTTTTTACCATTTCACTCATCAGCAGAGTATTTTAGTGGATACTTGACATGAATCAAAATCTATCTAATCACAGATTTGATTAAAAATATATATGCTTAATGGTGGAGGTCCACGTACCACATACCAACCCGTCAAATATATTTTGTTAAGTTCTTTCTATTTGTATTCTATTCACATTTGGATGTGCTATTTCCCCCCCCAAAACATTTTTGTCACTTACCTGTGTCATTCATTCTGTTAATCGTTTGTTTATTTGGTTACTTTGTTGCTGCTAAACCCATTGTTGCCAGCAGAGGGCACTCTATGCACTACATTACTGGCATCAGCAGCCACCCTGTATTGTACAAAAAAAGCTGTAAGTCCGTGATGAGTTCAAGTACACGCGGGACAGAGAGCGCTTCTGAACTAACCATTACGTTCATATTTTAACAGTTAATCCTGGTAATTCATAATGTGAGTAGGATTGAGTAAAGTATTAGTAACTGCATGCAGACACATTTATCTGGATTGTAGTCTTTTCAGTGTAATTCAGCTATCATTGCTTAAAGCCAGGTTCAGTGTAAGCTTCTGTAAGTTATATGTTGTAGATTTTGAACGACCAAGTACTCAGAACTGGCTGCGGAGTGCAGGGAGGCTGGCTGGATGACCATCCACCCAGTTGAGGTTGGATGCCGAGGCTTTGTGGGGTATACAACCACCCACCTACTGAGGGACGCAAATGTGACCGGTGGAAAGCTAAAGAAAGCAACAACAGAACTGGTGGGAGACTCAGAGAAGGGCAGCTTTTGGCTGTTGCTAAGGAGGAGGGGAAAGAGTTGGGGAAAGAACATCTAACCCAGATACCGGCTGCAGGGGGGTAGGGAGACGTCCCTGTCACTGCTTCGCCAACAGGAGACGTTCCAGGATTTAAGGAGCGAGGCGTCTGTGAATGGTGGTTCCTGGCTGATTACCCGGCCGCTGATCCACGGCCACTGGAGGAGGTGCGTCAGGCAGCAATGGCCAGCAGGAAATTCCAGCTACCTTTTCAATCACTAACTTCTGGCAACCCAGTGACTACTGTGAATAGGGCTGTTGGAATCCAGGTAAGAATGGAGGTAAGCCAGGAAAGACTTGCTGACGGCGGGGAAGACCGCTCCGGAAATGGACAGCTTGTTACCCAACCCACTAGTCTCTCAAAAGAGACACCCAAGCCTAAGTATGAAGTTTACTAAGAAGAAACTACCCGCAGGCCCTCTGAGAGGGCAGCCTGATCTCCAAAATCTGTTCGGAAAAATGTATATACGAAAATCTTGAACATACAAATTCGTAGTGATACATATATACGGACTGCAATTGATGACGTCACCCTATTCAAAGTGAATGGGGACCTGCACCCCGTAAACACAC